TAAATAAAATTTTATATTTTAATCCATAGTTATAAAAAAAATTATATTCCTTTCTTCTGTCTGCTTATTTGCATAACGAAAAGCAAACTTATAGAGCCTCTAAATCACACAAAATCCTTGCGCAACCCGAGACTTGTAAAACTCAATATTGTGCAAAATACTACAGCATAGAATTGCGCAAACCTTATTTTGAAGAAACGTTGCTCAAGTAAATATGTGCAAGCAATATGAATGTGCGTTGTATATTTTGATAGCTTCAGCTTTAAAACGAAAAAAATAAATAAATTAAAGAAAAAATAATACTTTTCTTTTCTACGCTTTTATCCATATTTTACAGCACGATCTGGACACCAAGATCAAAACTAAACTAAAAATTTTACAGTTGTCTCCATACGCAGCACAAATTATTGTACAATAACACAAGCATATAGCGCAATAACTGTGCAATTTAGTACAAACCACCGCATACACCACACAAACGACCGACGCAAGCCCGATATAGCGTAATGTTTTTGTGTGGTTTAGGCGACGTGTGCAAAGAAGTTCCGGGTTGTGTTTCCCTTATAAGAGTTACCAAATCAAACTTATAAATATCTATATATAAATTGTGAGACTTTAAATGGCAAGAAAAAAATATTTGCCTTTAGACTAGTAATACTATTCATAGTTTTCAAAAATTAATTTCTGGCAGTCGAAGTAATCAAAATACGGCATTTGGGAACGAAAAAGTATCAGATATTGCTATTTAGAAAAAAAGTATTAAAAATTATACAACTGTATCAAAACGACAACGTTGATCGTGATGGAAAACGAAGTTAGTTAACATCTTGTCGTCATAGCGACGATGGAATTAACAGCGTCAGCCGAGTGAAAATACTGCTAAAGTAACAGAAGCAGCGCCGCCCTTGCTTGCCTCACCGCTCGTGCCATAAATTGAAGTTGGTTCGATAGTCGACATGCGTCTTCTGTATACTGTTTATTCTGTGACACGACTTAAAGCTCAGTTAGTCTAGACTTAACTTAATTGAACTTACCGTATGAAATCATCAATAATTACTCAACACGTCAACTTAAGCCAAAAGCGGACCTAATTTGTTTTTGTATTTTCTTTTTCAGCTGTTTACCAGTCCACCGCCTAAAATGCCACATCAAAAAAATGTTTGCGTTCATTTATTTTTAAGAAATACAAAAACGAGAGTCTGGCAAGCCTTATTCTCTCACCGCTCTCAATTTTCGTAAGGCCGTAACTTAAGAACCTAAAATTTACAGGTTCTTAAGTTTCTTACAGTAAGTTAAGTTTTAACTAACCGCCAACACAGTTTCTCATATAACAGGTTGACCAAAATATTAAGTTGAATTAAGTTACGGAAATTAAGGCTAGAATAACTGAGCTTTTATTCCCAAACTGCTGCTTAGCACATTTCTGTAATTCAGTATCAATATTAAAGCATACATTTAGGAGACCGGCCCAACCATGTACATGTATGGAATTGGTATCGGTGTTACTTTTGATTGAATTGATTTTTTCGCTTTATGTTAACTAATTTGAAATTTTAAAAATTGTCTGCACATTAGCATCAAAATACTTTCCTAATGATATAATATATATTATATTATAATTGTTATAAAAGTATAGTTTAGCCGTAAAAGGGGTGTAAAGGAAACCTGATTGCCTATTTATATATAACTAGAGTGTCAGTTACTGTCGACATTCGACAGTTTTTCTAGTTTTAGAAGCCTTGGAGAGGTTTTCTAACTTAACACGTACCGATACTTAATTACAAATTAACTAACCGGAAAATCTTCTGCTAAAACGTAACTATTTTTTTTTTATCTGAGAAGGTCCTTGGAGGACTTCGGCAGGACTTGGAATTGACCCGATACATTCAAGTTTATCGATAAATTTCGATGATTTGATACATATCAATAGTTCGATGAATTTCAAGAACACTAAAATTCGATAATTCAACAAAATTCGTTAGCTCGACCAATTTCGATAACTGTGAAATTCGATGGCTCGATAAATTTCGATAACTCAAAAATGTAAAAACTATGGATACCTTTATAAATTTTTACTTTTGACATCTCCACATTTTTCGAAAACTATCTAAACATTTTGATAACTCGTTACACTCTGTTAAGACGATTAAATTCGATAAGCAGTGATAATTCGATAAGCTTATATAACCTTGAAATTTCGATAAATCGATATATTTTGAAAATTCCATAAACTTTGCTTTGTTGAACCAACCAATTTCAGTAGATCAATAATTATCAATAACTCTGTAAGTTGAAAGAACTCCATGCATTACGAACCTCGATATATTTCGTTAAGTCTATAAATAATGATAATTCAATAAATATCGATAACTTGATACATTTCTTTAACTTGACAAATTTCGTTAAACCCACACGTTTTTATAGCTCGATAAATATCCGTAAATTTGGACAACTAAGTTTCTGTGTCTATAAATTTCGACAACTCAGTAAACATTGATCTGTTTGAATAATTCGATACGTTGCGATAACTTAATAAGCATGGATAAATTTCGATAATTATAAACTTCGATGATTCAATAAATTTCAGTAACCTTTATGGCTGATTTTATTTCGATTCCTATCTTTTAACCTAATTCTTATGTATTTCTCATGGTCTCCATTTTCGCCTTTATCTCAATTTTCGTCTTTATCTTCACTTTTGCCTTTTTTTGTCTTCATCGTTATCACTTGTTTCTTCATCTTCATATTTATCTTTATTTCAAAGTTTAATTTCAAATACGAAGTAAAACAAAATGCGAAACAGCTTAAATTGAACAGGTTGCAAAAACAACAATACACAAATATGGAAATTTTTAAACGACGATTTTCAACCAATTTCGAAACTATAAAAACTCTCCTCATCTACAGAAAATTACCTTTCCAACGGTGTTTTTGGTTTTGAAATCGGTAACTTTACCTTGGTCTTCATCTTTGTTTTTATCTTTCACATCTTTGCTTATATCCTCTTCTTTTTCTATTCACGTAGATCAGATGAGGTGCGATGACGTGATAAGATGTGACGTGATTTTATGTGATGTGGTAGGATGTCATGTCATGTGTTGTCATATCCTGTGATGTCATGTCATATGATGCCATATCATATCATGTGATGCCACGTCATGTAATGCCGTGTCATGTCATATCATGTGATGTCATGCCATATAATGTGATGTCATATCATATAATGTCATGTCACGTGATATCGTGTGATGTGATATCATATTATGTGATGTAATATCATGTGATGTCTCTTCATATCATGTGATAAAATGTGATGTGATGTCATGTAGTGTGATCACATTCCATGTTCCGATTACTGTACCGATAACCCTGTTGATAACTGTGTCGATAAAAATACCGATAACAATATCCATCAACATATAGAAAAATACAACGATTGTAAAATCGATTAATTTCTCGATAAATATAACAATCATCAGTATCGATTATTGTGCATATCGTTAACAATATAAATGACTAAATCGATAACCAAATCAATTATTTAATCGATTACACAGGGCACCAATGATTTTGGTGCGGCAAATGTTACATCTGTTTTTGATAGACTTTTTTTTTCATTTTTGTTGGCCTGTGTTATTATACCGATAACAATATCCATTATTGTATCGATAACAATATTGATTATTATATTGATTATTATATCGATTACAATAGCGGTTATTTAAGCAATAACAGTATCGATAACAATATCGATTATTTTATCGATAGCAATATCGATTATTATATCGATAAAAATATCGATCTTCATCCTCATCCTTTTCTTCATATTTATCTTTATTTTTGCATATTCCTCTTCACCTTTACCTTAAAGTGTTTAAATTTACTTTGATCTTCGTTTTTGCCTGTACCTCTAGGCATCTTTGTTTTTGTTTTTATTCTCAAGCCGCTAAACCGCTGAGAACTATTTCCATGTGCATTATTCCCCTTGAATTTGACAATTTACTCCCAACCAACCAACTGCCGCTAAAGAAGTTTCACTTCATAAATTCAATAAATGTTCTTACCCTTTTAGTTACCCTTATTCTTATGTATCTGTCATTGTCTCCATTTTCGTCTTTATCTTCACTTTTGCCTTCTTTTTTTTGACTTCATAGTTATCATTTATTTCTTCATCTTCATATTTATCTTTATTTCAAAGCTTAATTTCAAACATGCGAAACATGTCAAATTGAACATGTTGCAGCAACATCTATACACAATTCGAAAATGTTTACACAACGGTTTTGGCCGTAATTTTCAACCAATTGTGAAACCATAAAAACTCTACTCATCTACGGAAAAATGCCTTTCCAACGGTGTTCTTGGTTTTGAAATCGGTTCGGTAGAATCGCCAAACGAACGGAGACAAAATATATGTTAGCGTATTAATATATAGATTTAATAAAATTCATATTGATGAGTTTTAAGTTTAAAATAGCTTTTTACAAGCATATACATCTACGCTTAACGTGTAAAAAAACAAGCATCGACAATTTCCATTTGAAAACACGTAATTTTGATTTTATCGAAAATATTCATAAGCGCACATAAAGTTTGTCGCTTACTGCTCCATACAAATTTTAAGCGCCAATACGTATGTATGCGTGTTCGCTTAGCAAACTGCTTTAGGCAAACTTTTAATTTACGTATGTTCTTTTCATGTCTTCTATTTGCAAGTTCGTGCGTTGCGTACTTTTGCAAATATTTCTGTCCTTGAGAGAGAACAGACAAAAATTCATTAGAATTTTAGTGTTGAGAGCTTTCTGCTGGAAGAATACGTGAATGCACCTAACAATGAGCAGCAAACCATGTTATGTATTTTATTTTAAGCCAACCAAACCTTTAATATTGGGTGTGAAAGCGTGTGAGATAGGAGGAAGCGTTGAGAAATCTATTAAATTTGCATACGTTTTTTAAATTACCCTACAAAAGTATTGAATATTTTTAACATTTTTTTTTAGCTATAAAAAACTGGCGCTGAAGTGGCATCCTGATAAAAATCCTGACAACTTGGAAGAAGCTAATAAACGCTTTAGAGAGCTATCCGAAGCATACGAGGTTTTATCCGATGGTAAGTTTATTCCAAACGATATGTGTATATATATAAATACTTAAATACGTACATATTTAATTTACATGATTTTAAGTACTTTTGTTTAGTAAATCTTTATATCACCGGAAATCAAGCAGAAAATTTGAAAGGAGGCGAACAAAATTAAAATCGAATGCTCTTGCTGCAACACTTAACTATATCCCAAATTATTTAATTTTGTTGCGCCTTGTTTCCGATTTTTGAAGAATATACATATCTGCATTTGAATATACTTCCCTGACATACATACATGCATATGAAATCGATTATAGCACGTAAACGGAAAATATATGATGGGCGTGCAACCCTCAATAAGGAAGGGTCAAACTATAACTTCGCGAATTCCACTGGATATACAAGTAGCAGCGGTTACAGATATAGAACTCGTGCAGATCCTAAACGTAACCATAACTTCAACTACAATGATGACGACTACAGTAGACATGAAAATAGTTCAACGAAACGTGGAAACCGTCATCAGACCTTCACCTTCCGCAATCTATTTGAGTGGACACCATTTCATAAATTATTTGGTAAAAATAGTACTTTCAAGGACTTTGCTACATGCTTGTTTTCTGCTTAATGGTTTCTTAGAGCTTCCGCATTTCTGCACAGATGTATGTATGTTCTCCCATTTTTGTTTACTAACGCTTACCTGAAGCTCGCATTCATAACTACAATACCCATTTAAGATTGATTTCTTAAAATACCCACGTCTGATATTTCTATGCCAATTCGGTGTAATTTTTTATGTTTAACCCTACAACCTTGAACTTAAAAATAGCATGACTTAAAAAGTATCACCAAATTGTTTTGTACGATACTTTTTTAACATTCAAATTGCCAGCGGATGAAGCTTTAACTAAATCAACGTTTACGAGCCACAAAGAAATTCCAACAGCATTTGGAAAAGGTTGAACGGAGGATAAGCGATTGGAGAAAGAGTACACTTATCCAAATTCGATAGCAAGAGAACTACTAAGAAGGATTTTCGAAAAGGCTAAAAAGAAATGACTATGCCGAGGTATAAAAATAATGCGGTGAACGATATTAAATTTAAATTTGACATTTGCAAATATCCCTCGTGATATTTAGTAAAATTTAATAAGATATCTCCACTGACGACTTTTAATAAATTTTTGAGAGGGTATCTCTAATGATATTTTTGAATATAAGATCTGCTTCAGTTCAAATCTGGCAGGTATTAAATAGCAAAAAAACTAATTTAAACGTGAATAATTCAGTCGAAACTTTCTTAGTACCTTCTTTTATTTCTATTTAAACCAGGGACGTGATCCGGTTTTGATCCGAACCGGTTTTGAACCGGAAAACCGCTTTTTTCTATTAATTAACTGAACCATTAACCGAACCGAAATTTTCCACAAATGTTTGATCCGAACCGAAAACCGAACCACTTTCTATAAAGGTTTAAAGGTACGTTTCAACCAATTTTCAATAGATAAATGTACCCACTTTTTTCTTTTTGTTAAACATGGTAATACCTACCATGTGACAATATCAAATGTAAAGGCAACCCATCTCATTTGACAGACACTTGACCCTTAACCTTGCGCGTTGTTGCACTTGACACATAAACTTGCGCGTCATTTTTTGTTTTTCGAACCGCTGAACCGAACCGAAACCCCGGTTGAAAGATCAAAAAACCGCTTTGACGAACCAATCCAAAAGTGCAAAAACGGTTCGAACCGCTGAACCGAACCGACCAAATTTTTCATCCGGTTCACGTACCTGATTTAAACGAAAGATTTATAAATATTATTAGAATTAATTTCCACGCCAAAATACCCGTACTTTAGAGATGACACCCGCCATTATTACTTGGACATCCCTTTCGTTGATCGATTCAGCTTGTTTTCGCCACATAATGCAGAACTGCGTTATTCTTGAAGCCGTGCATTTTGTTTTTTTTTTCTAATGTTGATTTCATACGGGCCCAATAACGCTCAATCGTTTACAGCTCTGGGCAATTGGAGGATTGGCCGCTTTTAGTACAATGCTGAATCCATTTTGTGTATAAAACTCTTGCGCTTTTTTGCACAATGGCTTGTTGCCAGATCAGGCCAAAACAATACAGGCTCTCAGAACAACACTCCAACACTCCAGGTGCAACAACACGTTCAGAAATATTCGGATTCCTTTTCAAAGTCCTTAGAACATCCTTCTCAGCTATTTCATTTATACTGCCTGATTTTTCGCCAGATTCCGCCTTTTTCTCAATGCTGGCATTTTTCTTGATATTTGAGAATACATTTTGAACCGTCGACCTTCCAATTGTCAGCAATTTTACTAACCGACATTGGGAAATGTGTGGCTTTTGCATGAATTCGTCCAAAATCAATTTTCTTTGCTGAAGTTCTTTGCTCTCCACATCACTTATTTTTAAAGTTACGCATATGAAAATTAACTGTAATAAAAAGGAACGATAGCAAAATCACTATATAAACGGCTGATAGAGTAGTCGCTAACAAAGTTGTGCTATGTAGAGTGCTGTCAGATTTCAAATGAGGCAGATCTTATGTATATCGAATCCCTCTTTTTGTATGTACATATGGTCGATTTTACAGAAAAGTAAACCAGTCCGATTTTTTCTTTTTTTTTTTTAATATTGTACATATTGGTGATTAAGGGTATTCACTATATGTGTCAGTTGCTTCTGACACTAATTCTTATCATGTCCAAGCATTTTGTGTTTAATATTTTGGTCTTTTTGTCGTAAGATTTTTCACGAACCTAAAAACAGTTTTCAATGCTACACCAGGAACAAAAACATTAGCTTTCCTTTGTTTATTTCGGCTGATAAAGTTCTGATCGATAGAAAATAAATTAGTTTAACAGAATACGTTCCAAGTTACTAAAAAAGTTGTTTAGAACTCCTATTAAGACGTAATGAAATGTACCGCAAATGTTAAATGTAACGTAGCCAGTGAAAAACTAAAAAAGTTGTTTTTTGGATACTTAAATATCCTTTACAAAGGGATATTTTACATGTTTTCTAATTATTGTCGATAATCCTGCGTGTGCCGTATGGAAAAAAAGAAATCGTAGCAGACTTCGTTGCACAACTACCTACTATATAAGTGTAACACGGCCAGTGTTTTTCTTTTTATTAAAATTTTTTATTGACTTGATAACTATTCTCATTTCCTTTTAGCAATAAATAATAAGACATATTTAAGAAAGTGTTTGGGTGGACAATTTCGAATTAAGTATTATACTACTAAATATTGATAACTATTCTATTTAAATAAAGCGAAGCTGACATTTGTAAAATATTTGTTCAAATATATATCTCTAAAGATTTTGATTATATATGTAATTGCCTGGAATTAATGACATTTTTTGCAACGTGTAAAACTGATAAGCTATCTGCCCCTTTCACGTGATTGTATTCCTATCACTACATTTTTATAGAATCTGATACAAGTCTACACCAAACTATGAAGAGTTTATTTTGTCTAAAATTGTGTATGCGAGAATTCTTCCATACAACTGCGATAGATGCATTAAGATTTTTGTATCTAAGTTTAACGAAGTTGTAGAAACCACCGTATCAGTTTTGAAATTGTCTTGGATGGTTTTTTTTTTTTAATTATACTTGCTTTTATTTGTTGGATCTGCTTATTTTCATCTATTAAGCCTAACAACAAGTTTAAAAATCGTACGTCTAATTTTACAATAATGTAGCTCAAACCCTGGGGTTGAGCCCTGTTGGTTTAACGTCGCTCAATGGTAGATCTCTTCTTCGCAGGCGTGTTATATTTGTTGTGTTGCACAGGCCACTTGCCAGTGGATTTGGGTGGCTACGCAGTTTTATTTTGTATTTTTCTCTGCTGCTGTCGATTACAGATTTAACCATCGGTATACCAAGGTCTCTATGTATATTTCCATTGCGGACATACCACGGTGCTCCCGTTAAGGCCCTTAGCGTTTTAGATTGGTCCTGTCAATGTTGGTTGCACAGGTCGTACCCCACAGTTGAATACCATACATCCATATAGGGTTAATCACTGTATTATATACAAGTACTTTATAATCTAGTTTCAGTTTTGATTTACTGTTTATAAGCCAGTTCACGCTAGCTGACTTTAGCTTCATTTGTGTAATCTTGGTTGATATGTGTTTGCGCCAAGTTATTCTCCTATCCAAGTGTATTCCTAGATATGTCACCTCATTGGCTTGTGGAATATGGACATTATTTAATTTGATTGGGGGGCATACTTGCGGTCTGAGTGAAAATGTTGTATGTTTACTCTTCTGTTCGTTGACTTTTATGCGCCAGTTTGCCAGCCATTCTTCTAAGCGTAGTAAATGTTCCTCTAGTACTCTTGAAGCTCTGTTGGGACATTTATTACGACTTACTAAGGCGGTATCATCAGCGAAGGTGGATGTGAGTATATTCTTGCTAGTTGGAATATCTGAAGTGTAGATGATATACAGCATAGGCCCGAGTACACTACCTTGAGGAACGCCAGCCGTTATCGACATGTCTTCTGAAGTGAAATTAGATACTTTAACAGCAAATTTTCTGTTAGTTATGTATGATTCAAATATTTTGTGGAATTCCGGCGGCAACAATTTTTTAATTTTATATATAAGACCGTCGTGCCACACTTTGTCGAATGCTTGTGCCACATCGAGAAAAATTGCAGAGCAGTACTCTCTGAGCACAAATGCCCTTCTGATTTCATTTGTAATTCGATTAACTTGTTCAATTGTACCATGTTTTCGGAAGCCAAATTGGTATGCTGGTATTAAATTGCGTTCATGGAGAAAGGGAGATATCTTTGATAGGAGTACTTTTTCGAATACTTTGGAAAGACAGGGCAGTAAGCTTATTGGTCTGTATGAGGACCTGCTGTTGCGTCTTTTCCAGGTTTGGCTATCATGATTATGTTCGACCTTTTCCATGAATTCGGAAAGTAACCGAATTTGAGGATAGCGTTGAAAAGGTCAGAAAGAATTGCTAGTGCAACATTTGGTAGCTCTATTAGCATTTTCGGAGTTATAAAATCAGCACCCGGCGATTTCTTTGGATTAAGCTGCTTTACTATAGCTTTTACTTCTAGAGAGTTCATCTTGCTAGGTGTGTATAGGTCATTTGTATTTTTGGTTAGCCGTGGCAGCCTGAAGTTGTTCGTTGGACAGTTTGGCTGAAACACATTCTTTAAATGGTGTGAAAAACACTCGGCTCTCTCCTGCTCACTACGAGCCCAGGTTCCACATTGGTTCCTAATTGGCATTTCTGTAGCCACTGGTGGTTTGAAGTATTTTAGGGATTTCCATAGAAAGTATCTTTCAGTAGAATTCGGGGAAAGCTTTTTAATGTACCTTTGCAAGTTGCGATCCTCTGTACGTTTGAGTGCTTGTTTCAGTTTTCTACTGGCAGCTTTATACAGTAGCTGTGAGGTTGGTGAGCGATGGCTCTGCCACTGTCTTCTTAGGCGCCGCTTTTCTGCCACAAGTTTTTCTATTTCGGTATTTGTAACTGATGTATGCGTAGGTGGTACTTGGACTTGATTTGGTGTTGCCAGGCCTGCGGCTGAAGTAAAAGTTTCTTTACAA